GGCTCGCCCACTGACATACCACAGGAAATCCGCGTTAACTGGGCTTACCAGTCCAACACAACGAGCAAGGAGGACACCTCGAACCACTTCCACATCTTCGTGGGCGACTTGTCGAACGAGGTCAACGACGAGATCCTTTCTCAAGCCTTTGCTGCCTTCGGATCCGTCTCTGAGGCTCGTGTCATGTGGGATATGAAAACTGGCCGATCCCGGGGTTACGGATTTGTCGCCTTCCGGGACCGACCTGATGCGGAGAAGGCTCTGAGCTCCATGGATGGCGAATGGCTGGGTTCCCGCGCTATCCGCTGCAACTGGGCGAACCAGAAGGGCCAGCCCTCGATTGCCCAGCAGCAGGCCATGCAGGCCATGGGCATGACCCCGACGACCCCCTTCGGTCACCACCAGTTCCCCGCGCATGGGATGGCCTCCTACGAGGTCATTCTGGCTCAGACCCCGAACTGGCAGACGACCGTCTACGTTGGCAACCTCACTCCTTACACTACCCCTAACGACGTTGTACCGCTCTTCCAAAACTTCGGCTTCGTTGTCGAGTCTCGTTTCCAAGCAGACCGTGGATTTGCCTTCATCAAGATGGAGAGCCACGAGGCTGCCGCTATGGCCATTTGCCAGATGAACGGCTACAACGTCAATGGCCGGCCCCTGAAATGCAGCGTATGTACACACCCACCTGTCTCGCTCCCGCTATCTCCTTTGCGCTCAGAAGTTACGTCGTGCAAAAAAGCTGACGCAGTTATAGTGGGGCAAGGATAAGACACCCAACGCTGCGGGTGGCTTCGACCCTGCTCAGCAGGGCTACAGCCCGCAGAGCGCCACTGCTCCTGGTGCCTACCCCGGAACGCCCACTGCGTACTTCCCGCAATACGGTGGTAAGCAGAGATTTCGTCCGTCTCGAGTGTTTTCAAAACTGATAATCGCATGTTTGTAGCGCAATACAGCGGCCAGCCTGGTAACTACGGAGGACCGACTGCTCAGTCACCGGCCGGCTACGGAGCTCAACCCATGGCATACGGTGGACCCCAGAGTGCAGGTGGCTACGGCCGTGGGCAGCAAGCCCCCAGCGGCCAGTGGCAGCAAGGACCTCAGGGTCAGGCTTTCAACAACGGCTACGGCGGTTACCAAGGTTAATGTGAAATCGACTTGTTGCTGTCATTTCGATTCGCCGCGGCAGCCTTTCAGTATGGACGGAGGATGACCACTGGGGTCTCTGTCCACCAAGACATCGACCCCAGAGGTACACCGCCAACCCCTTTCTGCGTGGGCATATGTCGTTGCCAGGAAAGGCATGTGTATGTCGATGAATCATGACGACGACCATGCTGGTCGTGCGTGACGGCGGAATACGGGGATGGAAGTGACGTCGGGGTCGTTTGCTTCCATCGCACGGTGGTGGATTTTCAGTTCTTTCTCATGGACCTCTCCCGTCTTGCTCTCTGGTCCTCTGTCTTCGTCTTCGTCTCTGGCTTTATCTCTTCCTTGTCATCTTGCCGTGATTCACTCTGCCAAATGCATGTTTCCATTCCCCTACTCTGTCAGGCGTGGCTTCAAAATTTCGAGTTCATTCGGTCTCCTCTCCCATTTCTGTCACTCAAGAAACGCATTCATATTTTTCTCTGCTCTACTCGACAAGTCGCTGCTTTCCTCATCAGACGTTTCTGTTGGATACCACCTCCGCAAGACGGAACTGTTCATTAACGAGATTATGACTTGTTTTGCAATACCCAATTTGCCCGTCGGACTGCGAAGGAGCGGGCACTGGATGCCAAGCCGAAGAGAGCAAGCTACGAGATGTGTGCATTTGACCGGTGGCCGAGACGAGGAGAAGGACAATGCTGGGGTGCCGCGGGCCCACCAAGTTGGACGGTTTGTTGTTAAAACTGTGTGTTCACATACTACATATTTGTTCGATATGTATCAAATGAAGGGCGAGTCGCCGCCCGTCACATTTAAAGCTGTTCGAATTGACCCACTTGCGACAAAGGCCATGGACTATTTGTTTTAACAAGGTTCACAATGGTAAAATCGAATCCGAGGTTGGCCATACAGTTCTTCGGCGAGGTCAGGAATCTCATATGTCATCGTGTCAGTCCACAGACCACATCAGATAGCTGAACATCCAGGGAATGGAAACCCGACAGCTAGGCCAAGGCACCGACTAAGGAGATACAGGGCGTGCTTCGTGCGGTATGCAGGCTGAAACTTACAGATGGAGGCAAGTTCTAGGTAGGGGACTGCGCAGCTCGAGAAACCCTGACGCGGTTCATCTCGCAGCGGTCATGCCGAATAATTTTTGAGTAAAGGTACATAACTCGTGCCAGGAAGGATAAAACACGAACTTCTCCTAGCTCCTCGAGTCTTGAACGCCAATAGAGTCAGAAAGTGGCCCAAACACCGAAAGAATGAGCCCGCCATGTGGTAGTGATCCGCCTCAGTTGCCTCCCACTTTCGTCAAAGTCCTCGGGGGAAGGCACGATGAGATGCCAAAGGCCGCAATACGCCCGGATTGTGAATGTCATGTCAGACGAGGCCAGGCCGTAGGTGGACGGGTGGGGTTAAAGCA